CCCAACTTGAATCCTAACCACAAATGTTATTACTAATAATAACAAATTTGGACGGTATGGTGGCACACTGGTTGGCTTTTCTGCCTTGCAGCACATATTTTAAGATATAATTACACTATACCACAATGAAATAAACATAATACACTATATTAAATAAAATTACAAAACACAATCATAATTAAAAGTACAATACAAATGCCAGACAAACCAAAAATGAAGTGAATGAATAATAACTAGCACATATGTACAGTATAGGTAAGTAGTTACATAGCATTAGAGTAGTCACCCTGTCAGTATGTGCTCCATATTAGTAGCAAATAATGTAAAAAGCAAATTACATTATGAAAGGTGAGAATTAAAAGCATTAGTGCAATACAGTGTATTGTTTACATAATATATTTGGATATATAAGTGAGCTGTGAGTTCACAGTGCTTTAGCAAATGTATCTTGAGGAGGTGCTGATGGGCTGCCAGTGGCTGAGCAGACCTGGTGTCTCTTGGTTGTTCATTTCACCATTGAGGGACGAGGGGAGAGAAGAAAAGGCTTTGCAATTGATTGGGACACACAGTGGAACTGTAGCAAGTCAAGTCAAAGCATAATGGAGAGGGTAAGATGGGTTGTAGAGAGATAGGAGAGACTGAATAACTCTTATCTGTGCTTTGATCTTTGCTGAGCCAATATAATGTGTTATTAGGTAAACAAAATATATAGTTCAGGTGTGCAGGTTGCGCCAGCATGGAATAAACCTACTACTTGTTCCTTTGCAACATAATAAATAGTTGGTTATACAGATATTGAAAACCATAAATATCTTGATCTGTATAAAGTGACTTCACATTTTAGTTCCCTCTTTATGACTTTATCTGGAGTTAAAACTCTTGAAAGTGCTTTGTCTTATTTTGGTGGTCAGAAGTCTTCTCTTCTGTATTTTGTTTCACTTACTGACAAGCGATGAAGTCCATCTTTGCAAGATTATTCAAAGAAGAATGTGTGAGAAATTGAGATTTTGTTGTTTGCTAGGGGTTTCTAGATTAATTTTAAGTGATGCAAACATTATCCAGATTAGTTCAAAAGAAAAAATGGCATGCAGTGCTACTTATTTCCTCAGAATGAAAATCAGAGGTTTGTCTTTGTTTTATCCCTTGCCAAGAACAAAATATGAATTTTAAGTAAGTTTTTTTTACAGTGAAAAGAAACTGCTTAAAACTATTTTATGAAGTCCATATCCTACATCAGTTAAACACTCTAACATCTCAAAAATCCAATTACAATCACAAAATATTATAACTCATTGTGTTCTCTCAAGATAATATTCAGCATTTCTATTTTTTAATAAAAGACTTCAAGTACATTACAGGAACAAAAACAGTTCCATTCGCAGGAAATGCCATTTAATTGGCTTTGTCAACTGAACAACAATCACAGATGTTTAATGCTTTGGCAAATATGACAAAGAAATGCTGTGTATTTTCAAACATGAATGGGTGTCATGGTAACCCATGGTTTTGCAGAAGAGATACAAATTTAGTTAAGGTAAGGGAGTGAACCATTTTCAATTGGACTTCAACAAAGAAAATTGATATTTATACACTATTTATAAAAGTGTCATTGTGTTTTAAAATTAATAATGTATATATAGTCCCTGTGTTTTGGTAAATTTAACATAGAAATTGATCACTTTCATCATTGCTGGTTTTGCTACTGTATCTGTATATTTAGTGTATTTTGTCAAGTATCAAAATATCTTTATTTTGATAGAATAAATGTGTTCATACCATATAGGAGTTGAAGTATTTTGTAGTAAAGTATGTAAATAGCCCATTTTACTAGCACACACAATGTACTCTATTTCTTACAGTTACCGGTACTTAATATATTAAAAAATACATTTGACATTTGGAAAAGTAAACATTTACAATGTAAAAAAACTATTTATTTTCTAGCTAATATTGTGTGGTACTGCCCTCTTTTCTACTGTGGTCAAGCAGATGTGGACAAGCTCATCTGTCCTGCTCTGCGTGATTATAGTGCATTCCTGTTGGTCTACAAGTGTAAAACAGATCTCTGCATGTTTATGCCCATATATTTTAATAATCTATTAGAACAGATGATGCCTCTGTGCAATGTGCCTTCAAATACAGCATTATTAATAAAATATTTTTTAAATTAGAATAGTGTTGGAATTAAATTATAAAATAACTTATAAGTATGTTATTTAAAGAAGAATCTAGCACTACAAAGTAAAAGCCTTGTCCCTATCTTTTCCTGTATTTGATTCCAGGATAAACAGATGTTTTGTCTTGATAAGCATTGGCTCTATGTTATTTCAGTGCCTTTGTAAAAAAAAAAGATTTGCAAATGTTTGTGTTTAATACTTTAGCACAAAGGACAATCTATTAAATAAGTACAAAATGGGCATGCGTGTTTTACTAAACATTAAGTTTAGTAATTTGTTTTTGGTATAGTTCTTAAGATCTGAGGTTCTCCACCTTGGCTATGAGTATTCTCACACCTGTTTGCTGTTTCACCCTAGTTGCTTACTTTATTGAAGCCTTCATCGAACTAACAAGTCACTTGATTGGAACTTATTCAAGTGTTTCTTTCTATTCTGTGTCAGAATGAATAAAACTGATTTTGTTATTAGGTCAATTAAGGGTTCAGTTATGTAGTTCAGAGTTCAATTGCAACAAAAACCAGTAGGTACAATATGTGGGTCTCTAGGCCCATAGCTGGAAGACTCTGCTTTAGATGACATGGTGAAATTCTAAATAACATTTTAGAGAATTCAGAAACATATGAAGATTAAAGTGTCTTTTCAGGTGGGCAGGACCTCCCTTTTCATATTCTTCTACTCATGAACTTGACGAAAAAAAAACAATACATAAAATATTTAGACAAAGAAATCTGCTACTATGCTCCACGCACAATCACATCTAAGAATCCAGTCTTTGCCTGTTCCCAGAGGAATAAAGGTGAAAACCAATCCAGCTGTTGAAATGAAAAGGGCAGTGTTCAAGTTGGGATAAACAAAGTTTTCTGGAAGAAGACAAAGTGCACAAAAGTCCCCTGTTGCGGCTGGCAGTGGTGTCACCCAGTTCCATGCCCCACAGCCATCACTGAGCCTCATGGGATAATGACAGCAGCTCAGGACATGGCCTCATTTGTTCACTGCCCTTTTCGGTGAAAAGAGTTTTGCTGTGTGTTTTGAATAGGCAGCATTTTTCTTTGTGTAGTTGGTCAAAACAGGGAGCAAAGTTAGTCAGCAAGTTGCATAGCTCCTGCATTCTGACTCTTCAAGCCTCTTTTGTATGAAGATTGACAATGTTTTATACTAGGTTTGACCTCGGTGGGATGCTGGAGGTAGGAGCCTTTAAAAATGTTCAACTTTGAAATATATATATAGTGAGTTATCAGTTTTCTGTTATCAATTTTCTAGTTAGCGCGAATGAAACATTTCCTTTTAAAATTAATGATGTGTAAACTAATAATGTCAGTGGGTTTTTGTATTTATTGATGGGTTTATGAGATCTGATAAATAAATAAAGGATACAGTAATGACGCAAAACATTAGCAGGCATTGCAGAATTTCTTTTGAATGTGTATATAATTTAAAAGATGAAGTGAGTCTCTTTTAACTGAAATAGTTAAATTAAGAAGTCTGGACCTTACAACTAATTTGAAACATCGACAGTGATGAGATACTGAAGAGTCTTACCTTTATCTAACATTAAAAGTCTTTGAATTTTCAATAAAAAGTTAACAGGAAATGAATTACTATGGGATTAAAGGTTTTTATCTGATCTATTTTTCTGTGAAAAGTTTGCTGCAAAGCCCTGGCATTGCTAATATTACCTGAAGGCAAACTGTACAGATTTATACAAGTTATTTACAACAACAGCCAAGCGGTTCCTCTGGAAACTAGGCTGCAGATCAAAGGATTGTTTTGATCTCTACTTAGCATATTTGTTTAACCTAGCCAGTGATTCTGAAAAGTGCACAGGCTTTTTGGTGATATACACAGCAGCCTTTATCCTTATTTTTCTTGTGTTAGCTTGGGATTTAAGTACTTTCTGTATTTGGGAGACAACTGGATTTTCCAGCTTTTGAATCTTAGTTGCCCAGTGCTAGTAGTCTGGCACTCCAAAATAGATAACTAGGTATACTGTGAAGCTAATCCTGATCAGCCTTGTAATAGTATTTGTGGACTTTCAGACGCCCAGATATGACACACCTTGCTGTTTTTGTTTTCCTCCATTAAATTATAAAGGGAAATAATGTTTTAAAAGTATCATCAGTAAGGTCATTATGTTACATTGATGTATTTCACATTTACACTTTACACTATTATCCCTGTTGGATTACAGTTATAATTGCTTTTTGAAATCTAAATGAACTGTATGGAAATATCATAATTTGCTCAGCATAAACATACAGTACATGTTTCCTAAATTTGGTACAATAGAATAACATTAAAATGTGTGAATTGAAAATAGTGAGAGACACATTACATTTAATCCTTGCATATCGATTATATCCATTCTCTGGTGTACAGAGCTGTAATGTAGCTACATTTCATGGGGTTAATTCAATGAATTGCCTGAATAAAGACAATAATCTTTTTCCATGTACTTTCTGTGGTGTCTTATTAAAAATACAATAAAAATACAAAGTGTCCTTGAACATAAGTGCTTTTGCAAAATATACTCACCATAAAATTACACAAAATAGATTGTGACAGAAAACAAGACTGGGTTGAAACATCCACTATGCTGAAGCTACCACACTTGTGTAAAAAAGGGCTCCCTGATAATAATTAAACAAACATGTGCTTACTGTATGTTACGTATGGAATAAATTGTATTGTATTCCATATGTAATAGAATTGTATAACTTTCTAATCAATTTGTAACATTATTGTGAAGAATACACAAATGTGTAAACTTCCTGTGGCTTTGCCTGTTCAAAGGACGCATTCTTGTATTTTGAATCTGTTCTACAGAAAACGAGGAACGGAGTCGACAAAGCAATCATGGCACAGTCTTGTGGAAAATTGAAAAGCAGCTCTCGAAGGGCAAGGAAGGTGGAAAAACAAGAAGAGCCACAAGATGAAGGTGAAGAGGAGGAAGAAGAGCTCTCCAGCAGGACTAGTGAGTCTTCAGGAAAAGGTAAAAAAGACAGAAAAAGAAGCATTTTGTGTTCTAAATGCATACGATTCCACCCTCTACTATCTTTGTTTAGGCAGCATATGCTGCTGTTTATTGGAGAGTTCGTATACCTTGGGCTACTTTTTTTTTGTCTAAACTCTCAACTGGAAAAGTCAATTAATATTTCTATATGCTGTTAGAAATGAGACAAATCTTAACCCTTATTATGCTTGCTTCTAAGGCAGAACTTAATCACCAGGGTTATATACTCACGACATGTGTTATGCAAGTTTGTGTGTGTAGCCTTTCCAAGATTGTTTGTGGTAGAAGGTGAAGGTGAAGCTTTTGAGGATCAAATAAAAATAATCCTATTTATATATACACAATCCTATAACTCATTGATTATTTTGCTGATTGAAACCGATCTAGTAACTGAAAAATAAAAATAAAAAATAAGAAAAAAATTAACATAACCCCCTGAATGTATGAATGCTAAGGAGCATCGCTGTCACATAACTTGTGCATAGGGTATCCAGCAGAGGTCAGCATGTAACATTGAATTGGAGTAAAAGAATATAAGAACCTTCTGTCAATTGAGGTCATTGCAACATACATCAAGAAAAAAAAACTCTTTAGGCAGGAAATAAAAATGATTTCAGTGTCACATATTATAATGCCTTGCCAGCTGTTTCACAATTCGGTTTCTTGGCTATTGATGCTTGTACATTCAAGTTTTTGAACTGGGCTTTTGTGGTTTAAAAATACATGTCTAAAAGCATTATCTTACATGGGTTAAAGGAAACGTACTTGGTAAAAAATAGCTTATTTAAATTTATTCTAGAGGTATCTAATTTTTAAACAAAAGGTACAGTATGTGTATACTTTTTTTGTAGGGCATTACATCTTTTCATTTTATTTGGTGAAATTGGCAATATCTGCTAAATGTTTCCACACATAAATCCATCAAAAATACCATCCTGTTTTTTTTAACTGATCCTCCCTTTCATCCAATGACAAATAACTGTTTTTGCATATATTTATGAGGTTCTTAGGAGCTTTACATGAATAAGTAATGAGCATTTCAATGATTTAATCTGCAGAAATTGAAGTTCCGGGTCAAAATTATTAGCAGTATTTCATGAACATTGTCAAAACCTGGATGGAAACAACAGAGGAAATGTCTGATAACAAAAATACAAGTGAAAAAAAGCGTAATTGAGCATTAAGAGTCGAGCGAAATTCCTTCCCAATAAATGGACTGATTTGTAATATTTTCAGTTTTACAATATTTTAAATTTAACAATGTTAGCTTTGTGAAACTAGTTAAAAATACGTTTATACAGGCTGATAAGAAAATGGAAAAGGCTGCAGAATATGAGCAATCCCCGTTGCAAATAATTCAGTTTTGGTTTGACTGCTTCAGTTGCCTAATACAAAATAATAGTGATCCTTGAACTTGTTATCTGATATGACTTTATTATTTCTCACAATATCCGTAATACTTTGCATTAATTTTAAGTGTGGAAAGAATGAGATGATATGTTCTGATTCATTTTGTAACAGTTTACTGTAAACTAGAATATAATACAACTAGAATCCCCTTTAATTACCTATAGTGCAAGACCATATGCATTTTTCTTAGATGTAAGCTATAAAATGTCTGATGTTTATAATACGCATTTCGATTGGGACATACTAAACTGTCTAACACTATGGATGTAGTAGCTTTTTGCTACAGATTTATGTATCTAATCCACTTTTTTATACATATCAAATTTCGATTGCTACGATTCTTTGTATTAATTTAACTGTGGGACTGCTAGTAACCTACAGTATATTGACCATACAGAAAACAAACAAGCAAACGGGTGCTGCTTATATTTTCCAGCTTTATGCTTTGGAAAACATTTCCAGATTCTTGGTTTATAATTTAAAAAATAATGTTTACCATTTCATCAGGGAAAATAGAGGTTAGGAAATATAACAATATAACAACGGCTCTAGTCTAAAAATCATCTTCGGTGTGCAGTATTTAAAATAAATAAAGTGTTGGATGTATATATAAACATCACCATTTGAAAAAGTATCACACTTACAAATTTAGTTAGACGCAATGTATGATATAAAGATGGAAAAGACAGTTCAGAGAAAAAAATACAAGGACATTTCAAAATCTTTTTTATTATTAAACACTGGGAGACACAACACAATAATGTACCAAAGTTCTAGAAATAAAATAAGCAACTACTCTCTCTTTTTATATAATTGATCATTTTTTTATTTTTTGAAACAAAAGGTGACCTTCTGGATCAAAGGGTTTTATGAATTTACTGTAGTGTTTTTATTGATGCTACTTATGAAAATCTAGTGTAATGTGTGCATTACTTGCACAGTTTATTCATGCTATTCTGCCTTGGGTTAATTGTAACCATTGTGATGTGGGCTGATTGTAACAAAAGTGGAAATTAGCACAGTGGTGACTATAGGGCCAGAATGAGATTCAAATAAATGCTGCAAGTCTCGAGATGAATTTGTTTTTTATTCCTTTTAACACTGAGGTTTTACAAATAGGCATTGGGGTTTTACAAATAGGCATCTGTTTCTCTTTTTGCTAATTAATTTTTTAATAGTCTATCATCCCCTTCTCCATCTGTCTTTTATTTTTCAACATACATGCATATCTCTTATTTTATACTGTTTGAGTTGTCTTATAAGTGTGTATTTGTACAATTACTACAGTTTAGTAAATAAGCATAGTTAGAAATACAATGCGCTCATTCTTGAACTCTGCATTTCCAAAATACAGAGTTTGCACAATGTGCAGTATGTCAGCTTATTCAGATGTTTCCTTTCAGATGGGTTCAGAATGACCCATGTATACAGATGGGTGAGGTTTGTGGGAGTGTTGAGATACTCCAGCACTTTTATGTGTAGGGTATGCTTAAAGTAATTTAAAGGCCCCAGCTTATGCTGTGTGTTTTCCGCCCAACACAGCAGAATTCTCCAAGAGGACTTTTTCCTGACTTGGTGAATCATCATGTCTCCATGGCGGGCAGTGTTTTAGTGAAGATGGTTTATCAACTCACACCGACATTACAGTACAAAGACAAAGTAATTGTACTTGAAAAAAAATATATACTGTAGTATTAAGGAACTGTCATTATTACAGTCATTGTCACATTATTATAGTGCTGTCCTGGCCAATCTCTTGACATTAACCCCAATTGCAGAACCTTGTGTAAGTTTTTCACAACATTTCTCTACAAAAGTTGCCCTGTACACCCACTTCCCAAAACTTCATCAACAATGATCTCTGATCTTGTCCACTCTTATGTGTAAGATCGTTCTTGCTTTGTGTAGGACCAGATGAGACATCACATACTGTAATACTGTATTAACCTTAGTCATAATTTTGTAGTGTTGCATATGGTCACAGGATAAACAGTTATTATTGTCCATAAACTATATAATGTGGATATACTCTATATTTGAATGTACTTACATTACAGTACTTCACAAAGGTAGAATGAATCAGTATATACATCTGAAATTACAGTTTTAGCTGGAGGAGGTGATTTTGGTAGTGCCTAATTCCTGCTTTTTCTCTTTGTTCCTGTATCCAAGTTAATGTTTGTGTTATTTAGCTTTGTAGGGAATGGGAAATCACTCTTAATCCATTGTTCATCCTAATACAATATAAACATATTTTAATTAGAGATGCTAAAAATGATAAATGTCCAACAGCATCCAACTTAAATAACTTTACCGTAACATCAAACATCTTTTGTACGTTTCGCACATTTTATGAAAACTGATCAAAAAACGAGACTGAAGCAAACAGATAAATGCATAAATGTAATCTATAAATTGTCATTGTTAAAGACATTTAAATTATTTTTAGATCAATGCATAACAAAACAATGCCAATTTAAAGTATATACAAGAGCCTTAATGGATAGATAATTAATCCATAAACCATACAGCTAATGGATTTGCATTCTGCATAGAATATTCATTTTCTTATAATTGTTTTTATACCCCATGTTGTAATTCCATTGTTCATTTCTGAACATTTATAAATAATATTAAGCTTTTTTTCTCTGAAAATTATATTACAGTTTATTAAAGTTCAGTTCTAAACTGTTATATTCAAATGTAGTACAGTATAACTCCTCATTACTGTTCTCCAACAGGTTTCTTTGAACTATCAAAAGCCTAAGATGTGAGAAAGGGTTAAATGTATTCAATTATGCAAACAGAACAGTTAGTATAAAGCCCAGGTTGAATGAAAACCCAAATTCCTTGTATCCTCTTTAGAGCTACAGTACAGTTATGTGATCCCTGGCATAATAAAAAAAATAGAATTCAGCTGTGTTTAGTAGAGACCCTTCTTAATGATTTTTACTGAATTAATGAAAAAAGGCATTTTGAAATTCTAAAATGCAAAATCAAGTGAACGTAATTGCTGCATGTTGTCTCCATGCTACATACATAAGAGTTCATCACCCCATTTATGATTATGAAATAGCAGTTGGTCACAGGTATCGTCTGGGTAAAAATCTGTGGCATGTGCCTTTATTGTAACAGCGAAGTCAGTTCTCAGTTTAAAGTGTTTGTCCTTCATTTCAATGAGCATTCTTCAATCAAAAGATAAACCACTTTTCTTTCTTTGATGTTTTGCGATGTCAATAGCCTGTCCTTGGACACTTACATTGAATGGAAATGTTTAAAAAAACATTTTAAAAATGAGTTCAAATCATTGTGTTTTCTACCTTTGAGCATATTGACATTTTAATTCATGTTTAATATTGTTGTATTTTGTTTGAATCTCTTCAAATACCATGTGGATAGAAAATATAATTCTAAGCCTTGAAATGCTGTGTTTTCAGTTGCTTTCCTGCTTTCTGACTTAGAATTAGAAATTCAGAAGCTCGGAAGACTTGTTATATTTTCATGACTTGGATGAAATCCTGGAAGCAACAGAGTGTGATGTACAATAGGAAGCTATGTTGGTGGCTCAA